AACATGAAAACTCCAATGCTGAGATATGAACCCAAAACCTGAGAACTGTGAGGCAGGCGTGCGAACCACGACAACAACCCTGATGCCCGTTTAGAAAGTCAATTTTACGTAAGAATTTATGCAAATGCTAGTGCTCAGTAAGTAAAATGATTGAAGTTCCGAATTTTTACACAAAGTGACTTGTTTTTTCAAAAAAATGTAAAGGAAATTGACAGTCAACAAAAATGCAAAGGTATTTGTGGTGCTTTTTTTTTTTTTTTTTACTGGTGAAGGGCGGCTTTAGTTATTTCATTGCATTAGCATCTTGTGTGTAAGCGAGCTTTATTCTGAGAATTGCTTATTTTATTTTCCCTGAAATGCAGCATTTTTGAAGGTGCCACCCCACACTTAAAGAGGAAATGTGTAGCTGCCATCTCTTGAGTGATTTAAGTGTGATGAAACAACACAGCTGGAGGCGACGACGTGTTCTTTATTGCGTTTCCTTGCTTGTGAAGTTGGAGAGTTTTTTTTTTTTTTGGTTTTTTTTTTTGCAGAAGCAGTGAAAGTGGAGAGAGTAGTCAGTCGACCAGGGCGTGGCAAACATTTTTGCGCAAAGGCTACGTTTGATTTATAAAATAGACTGGATCGGCCAGGTCATTTGTAAATGTTAATTAAACAAAAAAAAAGTCCTGTTTTTTTTTGTTTTTTTGCAATACATTTGGTTTAGGTTACACATTGTACAGTATAATGAGAAGATTTTTATAAACTTCATTCAAAATGAAAAATTGGTCTAACAAGTACAACTTACTCATGATTATCATTCTTATCACTTTATAATTGAATAATTGTTTAATACAGTAATTTACAACATGATGTGTTTGTATTCATGTCTGTAAAGTGTCCTTGGGTGTCTTGAAAGGCGCTTATAAATAAAATTTATTATTCTTTATTTTAAATCAATTATTTGATGAATGGCTGATACTAGGTACAAAGTAAATACAGTGTTGCAAACCACTTTGAGAGAAAACTTAAATCAACACAACAAATGACTTACTATTATAATCAACTTTAATAAATGATAAATCTATTTGTAGCATTGTTTATATTTCTGTTTTATTAATTTCTTTCTTGAAAAATGAATGAACAAATGTACACATGAGAAATGGATGACATTTTTTTTTTTAATCTGAAGGAAAAAACTGCGAGACAAATGCAACAAATTGTACTGACTATAATAATGACTTGAAAGTCAAATGTCATGTTTCTAAAATTGTTTATCCTCCTAATTGTGCAGGTATTACGAATATAATCAAATTATTTTCAGACCCTGTGAGGGGAAAGTAAAAATCTCATAATTTAACTCACTACAAAGCACAGTATTAACAGCCCTGCCAAATTTGAAGGTTAAAAAAAATTGCCAAATATCTCAAATGCGGCTTCACAATTGTGCAAAAATCAAGCCGTTGTCTCCACCTTCAAATGCTATGCGCTGAATGCGTGAAAACCACATCCTGATGAAAATAAATGCTCCGTTTTCTTTATGCCCAACATCCCAAAATGTTTGAGCCCTGAAAATATATGTGTGTCAATCCTCTGGTGTCTGGAATATATCCCACCCGGGACAAGAGGTGCCAGTCAGCAAATAGTTCTTATTACCGTGCCTAATAATAATAACCCATGCCAGCTATGCACTGAAGCAAAAGATGGATGGGCCTTGCGTTCCTGCAAAGCGGGTGACAGAGGACGCTTGGCCATGTGCGTCACTGAGCACTGCTTTTGCCATGCCTCCCCCCCCCCCCCAAAAAAAATCAGGGAAACCGAAAATGGTGAAAAACAGTTTAACGTGTTATTTTCACAAGTGAGTCATACATAGTTCTCGGTCTTTACACGTTTTCAGCCATTGTCTTCAAACGTTTAGAAATCAATCTTGGAATTCACTTCACAAATGAGATAAAAGATTTTAAAAATGTGTACATTATAAAGCACAAGTGTTGGGGGCTAAATTAATGCAATGTATATTACAGGTCTCCCGTTCATGTTAATGTGCAGTGAGCCGGATTACAGATTGCGGCAATGCTTTGTCCCTACCGAGTAGTAAATTTGCCCTCCCCGAAAGAAACCACATTTTTTTCTGGGAATGACGCCGCTAAATCTGGCTGCAGGAGTGCGATCCGGTCTCCCGGGTCCTCTTCTCTGTGCTTTCAGTGGTCTCCCCCAGGGGCAGGTTCAGGGACTTCCTGCAGATGTTCTTGAAGGTGGGGCTGGAGAAGTAGTAGACCACCGGGTCCAGGGCACTGTTGAGATAAGTCAGGCTGACTGTCATGTAGAAGACCACGGTGAGGCCGTCCATGGCGTCGCACACCTCCGACTCGGGCAGGGTCTTGATGGCCTCCTGTGTTTTGATCCAGATGAGCAGCTGCGTGATGTTACTGGGCAGAAAGCAGATGGCGAAAAGCACCACCACCACGGTGATGAACCACAACGCCTTCTTAATCTTGCCGTGCTGGCTCATCTGCCGCCCCCGCAGTTGGGCTATGATGCGCGCCGTGCAGAAGAGAATCACCAGCAGCGGCATCCAGCAGGAGAACAGAAAGTTGAACTTGTGCCACAGCCGGTTGCCCTTGGCCGAGGTCTCCACCAGGAAGCTCTCGCAGTAGTCTGAGCGGAAGTTCTGCAGGCTGAGGGCATTGGCCGTCATGCACACGGTGACCAACCACAGTGCGGCGGCACCGCACATGGCCTTGGAGGGACTCAGGGAGTTGATGCGGCTGTGCGGGTGCACCACGCGGATGTAGCGATCCACGGCGATGGCCATGAGGAAGAGGGTGCTCCCGGTGCGGTTGAGCGCCAGCATGAACTGCGACACGTTGCACAGCGTCTCGCCGAAGCGCCACTTGACGCCCGAGCTGTAGTAGCTGGCGCGGAAGGGCAGGATCATGTTGAGCAGGAAATCTGCAACGGCCAGGTTGAAGAGCAGCACCGTGCTGCTTTTCCAGGGCCGCAGGTGGAAGCAGAAGATCCAGAGGGCCAGCCCATTGCTCACGGCCCCTAGGATGAACTCCACGGACAGGAGGGTGGGAAGCGTCCGGACCAGTAGAGTCGTGGTGAAGTTGCAGTGCATGTCGGCGGAGGAAATGAAAAGCACTGAGAAGGCAAAGCGCACGTTCTTTCGAGAGAAATGTTTGGCCTCTCTTTTTGTCACTTTGGTGTCACCCTGCACAGGAAGCCCCCCGTTGCTTCTGCTTTTTGGTGTCGTGCGATGACTAAGCTCTCATTGCGGTGTATGAACACGCAATAAGAGATTGGACGGAAAGTGCAATGGAGTTTACGTATCACAGATCAGACAAAAAAACCACACGGCTTCAAAAGACACCTTGGTCCAGCTGTCGAATACTAAATCAATCGTGAAGCGTATTTCAAAGGCGATGTCTGCACAGCACGGACCATCTTCCAATACGGTGAAATGGCCAGTATGTCAAATAAAGAGAATATCCCAAATGCACCTGCACAACAAATACAGGGGCCCATATGTCAAATATGGTGACCATATGCCAAATACAAGTTGACCGTTTGACCAATTTGCACCATGTCAAATACAGTGACCCATGTGAATGACAATTAACCGTACACCAAATTCACTGGGCCGTGTGTCAACGAAATAACCAAACTTAAAAATTTTAAAGCATTTTCGTGAATGAAATGAAATAAAAAAAAACAAAAACGCTTTAAAAAATTGAAACTGCATTTTACGTTTCTAAAATGAACAATTATAGTGAAAGTGTCCTTTTTTTATCCATGTCAATTAATATTGTACATGAGCTTTCGAGGTTCATTCTAATTTTATTTATTTACATCCGTACAGAAAAAGAAAGGTCAAACAGCTGTCTGAGAATTTTTTATTTACTGCACACTCTGAGTGACTTCTTTTTTTAATCTTGCACTTCACAAATCTTACATGTAGCAAAAAAATATTTCCTAAAACTATTAAAATCTAATCTAAAACGTAGCATTTTCAAAAAAAAAGTAAATAATCTTGCTCTAAAACTATTTAAAACTAAGAACATTTGAAAAAAATAGAAGTCAAAAACGAAATAAAAACCAACTACGAGGAAAAATCCCAAACTATCATAACCCTGGCAATGACTTAAGGTGTGAAAATGAGCTGACAGATTGGAAGGAAAGTGCAATTTTAGTGAAGAGATCATTTTTGTCCAGCTCACTTCCGTTTTGTGAGTACCGTTTTAGCAGGGTTAATGCACTTGAAAGGAAAGTGGGGATTTTTTCAGATTTCGTCATTCTCAACTTCATCTCTTTAACTAGAACAGCAATTACAGTGGCCTTACATCAAATACGGTCTTTAAAGGTATTAAATCCGTGAATCTAGGCCGTATTTGGCATTATAGTCTTTGAAAAGTTTCAAATGTTAACACATGATAATTAGAATTTTATGCTTATAAATCCTCATAAATCTCAAAATAACAGTCCTAAAACAATAATTTACTAAATTACACACGTGGTGACATCACGCAATCATGACAGCAGGACCAACGAGGGCTGTCAATCGATCAAAAATTTTTCAAATGCATTATTCTATCAATCAGATTAAAAAATTCATTTTGCATTAACATTTTCCTGATTACCCAATCGATCTATCGTTGGCTATTTGGCACGTAATGATTAAACACAACAACAATCAAGCAATATTCATTTCAAAGCCGGATTTAACAGCAGGACCAACGAGGGCTGTCAATCGATCAAAATTTTTTCAAATTATTCTATCCATTAGATTAAAAAATTCATTTTGCATTAACATTTTCCTGATTACCCAATCGATTTATCGTTGGCTATTTGGCACCTAATGATTAAACACAACAACAATCAAGCAATAATCACACGGCAGAAGTGATGTTATTCATTTCAAAGCCGGTTTTGAACAAGGTGCGAGGTTTCAAAAGAGGGTTTTAAACCAGGGTTTGAGTTTGAAAGTAGGGTTTGTTGGAAGGAGCATCCTGGGGTTATTGATGGGCATCAAGTTACGCAAAAGTTACGTCCTCAACGACTACTCCACCACCTGGTGACATTTTTTTCCCCAACATCCATCCACTGTGCTTTGTCGGCCACTGCCAGGAAGCGAACCCATAAAGACCAATGCTGTCACCTAGAGGCAGTCCCGAGAAAACACTCCTAATTGGACCATCCTGTGACCTCGGAAAAGATCTGGCTACTCGGTCCAATGAAATGAACGAACTATCACTTAAGGAGAACCGAAATGCCATGTAGCTGCGATCAAAAAGGTTGTTGACGTGCCATGTAGCTGCGATCATAAAGGCTGTTGACGAGCACGAAAATGACGAGAGAAGCTTGCCAAGAAAAAAAAACCAAAACAAAAAAATGTGCATTCAGTTAATTAGTACTTTATTTTATTTTTATTACATACCCAACAATACCATTTAAAACACCACCATATGACGCATCTTCTTTATTATAGCAGTACCTGTAATGTGCCACTAGGTGACATTATTACTCTGTAAAAAAAAAAAAAAAAAAATCCTGTTCACGTCCATGACGTTCTGCCCAGAACAGCGCTTCGTTGTTTATCCACTGTGGCAAGCTTCTATTTGTTCCCCAAGTTAACTGTATTGCAACTGCATCGCGTTCAGAACAATTAAAGTGATGCACATGCATTTTCAAGACATTTGGTAGCAACTTAAAAGCAA